GTATACTTCTCTTTTGGGGAGAAGACAAAAATCCACCCTTTTGCCATTTGGATAAGATATAGAGGGTTAAGTGGCTGCTGATATTCTAAGGGCAAATTGCAAATTATGCCCTCTCAGGTTCAGAACAACATAATCACCCCCACTCGTTTCTAAAAACTGTTCAAATTACTTCCGACTCATTCGCAAACCATAAAGGAGCAGCATACAAGGTTTTCAAAACCACAAGACTCTGGTTGGGAAAGTTCATAACCTTCGGCTAATGTGCCTAATTTATACGTAATGTGATTAGAAAAGTAACCTAACGCGAAAACATATGTTCACATGCTGTTAACTGAACTTGCAATTCTGTTGTATGTTGACATGCACATATACGAACTCTACATTTTGCAGCTGGAAACAAGAAGAATTCTGATTAGAATAGAATCACCATACCATCCACCCCAAGCATAAAGCCACACCATTGAAGATGTACAGTCTAGACGACTTCTGACCAGCAATGTCAAGATACCTGCACATATTCTAACAGTGATGAGCAAGTATTGGACCGAAGGAGATGGAAAAGGGAAAGAAAAAATTGATTCCATGTGTCAGCTGACCATCTTAGATTAACGAAGGAAGTAGTGCTCTCCGAAAAGAGAACCATCAGTATGTAAATCTGTGCTTTACCGCTCAAAAGAGATTGAAAATCGAGTACATAGAGAGTCCATGGTGCAAGACCTAACAAAAGAATTTCCCGTTTACATCAAGATTACTCATAGATATTATTTATATTTAAAAAAATAATACTTTTATAAATTTTAAAATTAAAAAAGTAAATATAAGTGTAGAGTGGACAAAAACTCGTTACCAGAAAACAGAGAGAGAAAAAATATTTATTAATTACCCAAAAATTTAAGTAAATACACCCCACAGCACCATTGATGAACCAAGAACCCTAAATCTTGTCTAGGAAGAACGATGCACAATTCCATATGGTTCTAATTTGTCCCAAACGCGAACAATAGGCAAGCGTGTATCTTACAATGAAAATAAAACAGTAGGCGAAAATTTTAATCAGAATTCATTACCAAGTCAAATAATCATTGCCAGGTCTGTTTGAAAGTATCTAATGGAAATCTGCATCATTTCAAAACAAAAGAATCAAATTAGATGTATTCCTCAATGTATATTATAAATAATGTTCTCAAAAGTGTAAAATTAATTGTTTTGACGTCCCAAAATAATGCTTCAAAGGAACATCTAGGTGATCTTCATTAAAACATCAGCATATCATAAAGATAAGGGAGACGGTGAATTTTCAGTCTTTGTTTTGCTGAGAAAATGAGCAACTTTTTGAACTTGAAGGAAATATTCTCTGTAGTACATGGCTAAGCATCAACAATCATTTGACGATAACAAGAAGTAAAAATCATTAAAATAACTATAGAATTACAAAGTAACTTCAGACTGTGTCGTTGGAACATAACATAGCCCCGGTATGGAGTCTGATAAAGTTCATGTTCTCTTAACGATCAACTCATCATCAGATTCGGCAAATAGATTTGACGCAAGCAAGAGATATTGAGAACCAGCTGCCGCAATAATGGCAAGAAAAGTAGAGATCCCCCTGCAATAACAAACCATCATTACTCTAGATATGAAAATATTGTATGTATACTGGGAAACTATAAGCATAGATGTAAATGGAAAAAAGTTAAAAATAAAAAATTCCTGGTTGTTCCATTCAAGTTTCACCTTGTTGTCGAGTTTGCTGTATCCCTTGAAGATTAGAGGGCTAACTTCACCTGTTAATTCATAAAACTTCAACAGAAAAATTGGACATATGCTGAACAGTCTTAAGATTTGCCGAATGCATTTTTCCATATAGCATAAATAGAAGGGTGAAAATATTTTTAAAAACTTGCATAAAAGGATGATATATGGGAACCAAATTTGCATATCCCTCAGCCACGAGGATGAATGTTGTCGTGGGATATTTAAAATAATTTTCATGAACGGATTTCATTTAATTTATGTTGAAATCATTTCAAGATTTTCTCATGTCAAACGTATTTTCT